TATATATATATCAATTGGCTTAGAGAACACTATAGGTTCTATGTGAATTGGTGGATATAGGCCTATCTTGGTTGCAATACACTTCATCGTCCTTAATGACTTATTGAAATATCGGTGGATTTAAAACTAAGAATATCCAATTTAGGATTTTCCAGAACGTTATAATTTTAGATAACTTTAAAATCTATAGGCCTATCTATTGCATTTTAAACTAGATTTTAATGGGACAAATTTTAAATCCATAATTTATTTGAACGATTTTTATGGGGCCTCCTTCTCAAGCAAAATAGATTCTGTACAATTATGGAATGGGCCCCTGATGGGCCCCTCTTTCAGCTTAAATTTAAATGTACTATAGTTATATTAGTGCATTTAGTTGTAGAATTTTTCTTATTCCATATCATTACTTAGTAGAAAAGGCATTTTTTACACATTTCGAGGAGGATATTAATTTTAATCTAGAATGTTCCAGAAAGGTGTATACTGTTCTACGGGGACATATAATGCTATCAAAAAGCTTATTGAAATGTTAGTTTGGTTCTATTCATATGTAGACTTTCATGGGGATTTTCTTTAAATATACCCTTCTTAATTCTTCTGGGAACAAAATCTCTTTGAGAATAGGCTCCCAGCGAGTAACAATTTCATAAAGGGGAACGAGTCATTTGGAACCCACCGGTAACGTGATCCCATCGAGTAACGGGATCAAATAAGGAAAACGGGATCCCATCGGAGAAGAGAAGAACCCACCGGGATCAGGATCTCAAAGGGAAACGGAACCCACCGGGATAGGAAAACCAGCATGATCTGGATCTCACAGGGAAACGGGATCACACCAGGATTACGATTCGACGGGATAAGGATTGCACCGGGATCGGAATTCGACCTGAATCGGGATCCCACCGGGAAACGGGATCATACCAGGATTATGATCAAATGGGATCGATATTCCACCGGGATCCCACTGGCATCGGGATTCCACCGTTATCGGGGTACCACTGAGAAATGGTATCACACCTGGATTATTAACCAACCGAGATCGGGATGACTCTGGGAAATGGGATCCCGACGGGATCGGGAACCCACAAGGATCATAATCCTACAAGGATCGTGATTCAATTGGGATTAGAATTCCACCGGGATCAGGATTCCACCAGGATCAGGACCCCACCGGGAAACGGTATCCCACCGGGAAACGGGACCTCACCACAAAACAGGATCACACCTGAAAACAGGATCCTCCCCCCAGGATCGGGAAAACACCAGGATCAGGATTCCACCGGGGTCGGGATCCCACAGGGATCGGAATCCAACCGGGATAGGGATCCAAACTGGGTCGGGTTCCCTGCGGATACCGGGATACTATCGGAAAAACGAGATTCCATCGGGGATGGAAAGGTTTACAAAGGGTAAAAAGGTTTATAAAATGTGTTTTTATAGAAGACAAAGTTTGTGTTTTGTTTACTATAGTAGGGGTATTTTTATTTTACATAGCGCTTAATTTCAATATTAATTAAAAGGCTGTAGAAGTTGTTTTCCGAATGCAATCCCGGTCAACGCCGTATATATTGGCTAGTATGAAATAAAAACTGAGAACCGGACGTCAGCTTACAATCGTTAAGGGGAGATAAGGGTAGCAAGAGTTTTGAATTTCCGATTCCAAAAATACGGATTTGTGGAAACATCGACACAAAATAAAGGATGGTAAAAACTTAAGAAAGCGGTGCCGGAGTGCGAATTCAATATTGCCCTACCTAAATATCAAAATGTTGTTTAAATAAATTATCTGTAATGGCCTCTGTAGATCTCACTCATCTATTCGCTCGTCATTTTGAGCTTTACGATGGAACTGAAATCACATTTGACCAATCTGCTGAGGGAGATGTCGGTTGTGTTGTTTGGGATGCGGCCCTTGTGTTGTGTGGTTATATAGGCAAACAAAACTGTTTTGTTGACAGATCGGTTTTAGAATTGGGTGCCGGTACGGGTGCTGTTGGCTTGACTGCTGCATATTTAAGGTACTTTTTTTTAAAGATTCTAATTCTTTATTAATGTTCGTAGGCGTCGTAGCTCTTTTCCAGTCGCTCCGACTCCGAGCCACGGAGCCGCATTATTTATTGTAATAAAATACTAATCAGTCTTCTAATTACTACTAATATTATAATTATTATATTACGGCTGCTGGGAGTGCAGTTCTTTGAAGGTACGGATTTATTATAAAATTACATTAAAATTGAATATATACTATATGACTAAAGTATTAGCTTAACATTAAATTTAAATTATAATTATTTAATAGTTAGTAGATCCAATCACAATAACATTTATTTTCATTATGATACATAAAATAATAATAATAATAATATAATACATGATATGAAAATGTTTCCTCACTCAAACTAGATTGCTGACCCCTCCTAGTCTTGGCTTGAGTCTTTTATAATATATAACAAATATATATAATATAATAATAATAAATTAAAGTAAAGACATCATATAATTAGCTAATAGATAGAGCTTCTATTCTCTATGATAATTACTGTTGTACCTTGGAATCCTAATTTAATCCGTTCCTGAACCCTTTTTGAGTCGCTAGACAATGTTTCCCCCCCTTTAGAAACTGGATTAATTCTTTTCTGGGTGCCACCAAAGTAAAGCCATTTTCTTAGTTCTCAATCCTCCCTCTACTGGTTTTAAGCTCCTTCTTTTGAGAACAGGTAATAGGCAGGCCTTTCAGTTTTGTTTTTCCACTACATCTTCATGGAGGACCTTGGCTTTCTAAAAAATTATGGTCATAGAAATCACATTACCAGCCAGCTGTTTTTCATTAATCCAAACTAATTTTTTTTTTTCTTTTTTTCTTCCATACTTTTCAATCACCTAGAGGTCAGTGTCATAACCCCTTTCGCCACATCAGCTTTTTTGACAGCTTTTTAAATTTTTCAATAGGTACCTCTTTTATGCTTAGCAATAAGCTCTTTCTTAACTTCAATTGTATTTTTTCAGCTTTTCCCTTGCTCTTATTTTCCTTACTACACCACCTTTTAGCAGACCCACACGTTTGTCAGCGGCCTGAGCTAGAGATCTTCCATTTTTCAAGTTTTAAACTATACGCATATGTTTGAGTTTGATATACGAAAGGGGCCCAGAATTTCCTAGGTGCGGGCCTGCCTTTTATGACCCATGGCGAATATACTTTGTTGCTACCCTGTATTATATAAAAATAACACTAAATAAGCACAAAAGCATCAAATTAGCAGTCAAAATCATACAAGATGCTTTCCCTTCAGCTGCAGAAAATGAATTGAAATACAAAGCCTAGGCATATAGGTGGCCCAAGCCCTGAGGAAACATGTGCACAAAAATGCACCAACAAAGTTTTTAGGTGTATTTGAATTTTGAGCAAAAATTTGTGTGGTTTGGATCCTAAAGTGGTTGAATTTCTTTGGCATTTGGATTCCAAGGTACCTGGTATCAGTATTACTTTATTGAAAGATGGAAAAATTAAAAAATAAAAGTAGGCCCACCATCTAAGAAAGCCTAAAATTGCTGCAAAATAAACAAACCGATTGAATTGGAATTGATGTGATACAATTACTTTACTGATTAAGGCTGCAAAATAGGCCCACATAAAATTGTATAGAAATAGTAAAAATACTCATATTCTGAACATTTTGTTAATTGTAATACTTTTAAAGAATAATATCTTGTAATATCTTGTAATTTTACAGGGCACGAGTTGTAATAACAGATCTGCCAGAATTTGTTCCCTTGTTGCAGCACAATATTACTTTGAACAAAAATAAATTGAAAGGTTCCTGTACTGCTATGGCATTGCCTTGGGGTGACAAAAAATGCATGACAGACATCAAAGAAGCACATTTCAGATCGGGTGTTGACTATATTTTATTAGCTGATTGTGTTTATTATGAACAGGTAGGGTGAATTAACTTGCTTGTTCATGTCCTAGTCCTAAGAATGCACCAGTACTGTAAATTATAGTCGAAATCAATTTAAAAACTTCATTTAATTATGTACATTCAAGTCACATTTTCATCTAGTTATTATAATTTTATTTTTTTAAAGAGTGGTAAGTAAAATAGGTTCAGCACCTATCACAGAAAATGATTTTTGTAATATTTTCATGGATCCCAAATTTTTGTGTTGTAATTAATGTAACATTTTTGTGTGTTTTCAGTCATTGGAGCAGCTGAAAGATACAATAGAGTATTTCTCAACAGCGCACACGACTATACTCTGCAGTTATGAGGATAGAGACATAGGAAATAAGGCTGAATTGCAATCAAGATTTTTGAAGGTTTGGCCTTAATTAGATATCGGTGCCTTCAATTTTTAATTTAAAGACTTATGATTGGATGAGAAAGCAGAAGGCTCCTGATATCATTACAAAAGCTGTGTGCCAGAGTCAGTAACGCATATTAGTTTAATATAGAAGTCATTTTACAGTATATGGGTAAACTAAATATTTAAGTCCACATTTGTCCTCCCAACCTGGCGGATTTAAAAAATATATTCTGGTTAAGGGCTTGGGAAAGACAATGGTTAAGTGAGAAAACCTCTTTAAAAAAAATAATCGATGTGGAAATTAACCACGGCAAAAAGAGCTTGAATTTGAAAGGATTTACTGTTTATGAATCATGATACTGTTGCACAATATGCCATTAATGCTCAATTAACAGTATGACTATGAATGATGGCAACAAACATATATCATGCCCATCTTATTCATTATTTACTGTAACCGTTATTTAAAGTTGTAGGTAAGTAAGTTTGTTAAGCCTCCTATAATCAAATAAGGTGTCTCTTTAGATTTAACATCTGGCTAGTTTTGTCCATGAAACAAGTCCAGGTACAAGATTCATCATAGATAAAATTCATTATTTAGTATTTAATTTTTGTATTTACTGTTCTTGTAATTTCATCATTTTCAGATGATTGGTGAACATTTTAACATTGTTGAGATTCCCATGAATTCACATGATGAACAGTATTGCAGCTCTGATATCCACATACTACAGTTTAATTCAAAAAGTGAAAAATTGAATTAAAACTCATAACTGATATTTTCTGATTTTGAATGTTTTTGGTTTTTTTATTATTAATTTTTAAAATAATTTCCCTGAAAAATGCATTTAGGGCTAACAAAAAAGTACATCAATTGATTACATACTAATCCGTATCATTCTTTTCAAACCTTTAAAAAAAATTCTAAGAAAGAAATCAAACTGAGGACACCTTTGAAAACAAGACAGATCATAGATTGCTATACCTGTCACAAATCCAAACACAATTTATTCCTTAATATTTCTAAATAGCAATCATTGTGCCTTAAATTTAATTGAATTACTTAAATGACGCTTTAGAACCTTATTAAGCTCATAAATGATTTGCCATAATATATAAGGCGAGGGCAAACAATTTTTAAACCTTTAATTTTTATTAGTAGTATTGAAAACAAATCACATTCAATAGATGTTTCAATCAGGACTGCCATTTCTATCATCTGTGAAACAAGATGAAAAAGAACTATATTTCGTCTCTCCAAAAACAGCATATACATATCACAACTCAACTTCTTGTATCAATCTAGGTCCATACATTACATACAAAAAAAAAACACTACTATTTGTAAATTAATGTTGTAGAAAATAAAATTAGTACATGCTTAACTGATAGGCAAATGAATATATTTCATAAATTTAATGTCTCATGACTCATACAGCATTATCTGGATCAAATCACAACTGATTGAAGTTTAAGAGAAAATATCAGCCCTTGCTTTCTGAATCTTTATTCTTTTTCTAGAAACCTACTTTCTCCAAAACTTTCCACTAAAGATATGTATGAGTATATATCTTTTTAAAGTGGTCTCTAGAATTTCAAGCAAATATATTAAATTATGGGGCTTATATGAAAATAAGTTTTGAAAATTCCACACACACTGGCAAGCATTATTTACTTAATTATGAATTTGTATTACATTTTAAATCTGTATCATTTTTAAAATGATAGTTTCTTTCTGAAAGGCATCAGATTTGTCTATTACAATGATAATTTGAAGTGAATAATTCTGTAAAATTTAACTGGCCCATGATAGAACTTCATGCACCCTGGAAGCCTATAGAGCAAGCCTGCACAACAAGCAGCCCGCGAGTAACAAAATATTATTTATTATTTTCTTAATAGCTTCCCCTCCCTGTCCTATTTTCTTTCGGCCTGCAAAAGTTGTTCATAAAGTATTATGGCCTGCCTTATATTTTGAGTAGTGCAGACCTGCTAGTGCTATAGAGCCAGAATAATTTTGGAACCTTAAAATCTTTGATATTAGCAATTACAAGTGTGACAATACTAATCTTCTTTCATTTAAGATCACTCCCATCACCTCTGATTCACATGCAGCTGGATCTGTTGGTGAACTTGGATACAATAAATCCCACAAAATTTGCTTGCAACATTTTTGTTAAAAACTGCATTATTCTTATATAGAAATAAAACAAATCATGTACTTTACAGTATTTAAATGTGTTTCTACAATTAGTCACTAAGGTAGTGTTTCTAATAACTCATAAACAAAAACAATATTTTGGGTTACTGTGAAAATTATTTCTATGGTTATTTGCAATTGCTACCAACACTAAAGAGATCTCGATTTTACTTCCACGCTAACTTTATTTTTTACAATCTAAGTGATCTAGTTGGTATTGCCTTTTTTTTTTTTTTTTTTTTTTTTTTTTTTTTTTTTTTTTTTTTTTTTTTTTTTTTTTTTTTTGGTACTGTTTTAATTCATATATTAGAGAACTCAATGAGCTTTTAGAACGTTGAAACATACAAAAAAATATTACTATTTCATTGTCATTTTCTCCTAAGCATACAATTTAAGTTTTTAAAATAAATAAAGCTTAATGATGCATAAAATATTACATTTTAAACTTCAGAAAGAAATGACCTCCTGGGGTATTAAAGAAAGAATACCTTAAGACATAAAAAGGATAATTGGGGTTCTTTCTTTCATTTTTCTTTTCCCCCAATAGTTTGTGATATCAGGATCATTATTTTATAGGTAATATTTTTAATTATTTATAGTTAAACAATGACATCAAAGTAGCATAGATTCTGGTTTTTCCATCAAACTCTTGAACTCGGCTAACCATTGTGCTCCTACAGCTCCATCTACAACTCTGTGGTCACAACTAAGTGTTACAGTCATGATGTGTGCTGTGCTGAACCTAAAAAAACAACAAAATCATGTGGGTTTAAAGAAAATAAGTAGAATCTAAAATAAATAAGTAGAGACTAAAAAAATAAGTAGAAAGACAGAAAATATTTTTAAAAATTAATTTTTACTTTTAATAGTTTTAACATCTTGGTATAAAAAAGTTTTTATTATGTGTTACTGTTATTTTTATTAATTTCAAGGCTTCCACCACATTTGTTGTTACCATTTATTGAAAACTCCTTTTTAACAGCAATTTTTAAAATTGTATATTATTATAATTATTTAAATGGAAAAAGGTGAAGTTATTTTTAAAAAAACATTTATCAGAATTTCTTGCATTTTAATCACTATAAGAATATACATGTTTTTTAAATGGAATTACAACAAAAAACTTATATTTGATGTAAAAAAAAAAAAAAAAAAAAAAAAAAAAAAAAAAAAAAAAAAAAAAAAAAAAAAAAAAAAAAAAAAAAAAAAAAAAAATAAAAATAAAAAATTTTTTTAAAAGGAAATAAAAAAAAAAACATAAATTTTAAGAAAAAAAAAAAAAAAAAAAAAAAAAAAAACCAAGCTGCATAAAAGTGATTTTAAAATAATCATGTAGACAGTTTAAAAGTTTGAAAAAAAAAGTTATTCATTTTGGAGGGAGCAGTGAGCACTTTTAATTTATTTTCACAACTCATAAAGTTATAAAGCAAAGTTGTCCTGATAAATAAGTAAAGTTGTGCTCTTTTAAGTTAGCATTAACACTAAATGACAGTAAATGTAATGACTAACTTAAAAGATACACCACAAAAATTATTTTTTGCTGAAAGAAGTTAATGTCAACCGGATTGTACATTTACTACCACAAATAATAATGATAAACAACATGTAAAGCTGAATTTTCTGAACAGTGATAATATACATTAGATAGATAAATTGATGATAATATATACTTTTTAAAAATTACTAAGTAAAAATTATATTTGTTCAATGGAAAAGTATGAAATACATATTGCCATTCTTGGCGACAAACTTTATTAATTTTGCTTTAAATTCTCCCACCGGGACAAAGCTGAATAGGTACAGATGCCTAAAACCATGGGCATTTTAGGCAACATATTAAAATGATTGTTCAGTGTCTTGAAACCTTGCTACCATACGCACATTTGTTTATGTTAACATCACTCTTCTTAGGATAAGTTCTAAAATTTTGTATTCTTCTTTTGTTATGACAAAAAGTTTAAAATAGTCCTCCAATTACTTAAGAAATTTATTAGCAAACTCAGAGGATGAAACTATCTAACAGAACAATTTAGAAGTAATTGAAGTTGATACTGAATGTGATATGGATAACCCTATGGTTTAAGTTGAATCTAAATCAGACTTTAAAGTTTTAATTAATCTACCATATCTGTAAGTTGATCCTGACTTACCACGTTAATGGCAGTAATATTGTTTATAATTAATTGAATTTGAACTTTTTAAATTTTTTTTTACTTAAAATAAAAATAACTAAATAAATTGTCTTTTTTATATTTTCTTTCAACATACGTTTGTTTCAAAATGTCTGTATTCCCTTTTTTAAATGTAGTTTAGGCAGTGGTGGGTTAGGAAAAAGAATTTTGCTATCTGGTGCCTAGTTTTCAATCACAGTGTTGTTCAGAATCAAGAAGAAAGTGCACATGTCATTCTAAAAGTGTCCTACTTGTGCTTTGTCTGCTGAAGGCTAACAATAAACAATAATAGGGACCTAGTGACAATCTAAAACATGCAACCAAGTAACATCAATACCAAAACAGTCGATAGGACTTGCTTACCTAACTACGGGCACGGGATCTACAGATTGCCACCACCACTTTTTAGGTTTTGGTTTTTCACTAAACAGTACGTGGGAAACTTACAATGAAAATTTTAAATATACAAGAAATTTACGAAGAGAAAGTTGTTTATAAGGTTAATTTATATCTAGGTAATCCAGCTGTATTTAAAGGTAGAGACTTGCAGTTTCATTATGGCTACAGTAAATCAACATGATTTGTTATATGCATGAAGATCTCAAGAAACCTTTAATTTCAGATTAACAAAGTTAGAAAACAATGTCCTGTTTTTGTTTAGCAGCTTCATTTTCACAGAAATGTCTCATTTGAAAAATTAACCTGTGTTATTTTTGACACAGTTTTCATCAACTCTTTCTTTTGTTTTAAAATTTTAAATAAAACTAACAGATTTATTTTCATAATCCTGCATTATTAATATTCTATAACTTGATGCTTCAATCTTAATAAATTTTTAATACTTTTTGAGAAAAAAAAATCAAAACCCAATTTTAAAGTCTGATAAATGTTAAGAAATACTTATTAGGGATATTGAGAAAAACACAGGCCCATTTGATTTTGTATTCTTCACTGTATGAGATTTGAGTGCTTTTTATTGAACAAATTAGTTGTTTAATTATGTTGAAAATATATATCATCTAATTAACTATAAATTTTTGCAAAATTTTTAGCAATTCTTTTTTTCAACCAGAACCTGTCCTAGTAGTCTATTTAATTAAACTTTTACGTTAAAGAAAAACGATGCCACAGTTTTGAGGCTATGAATTCAGAGATTCAGGAGAAATGCTTAAATATTAAATAATCCATCCAATACAAACCTTGATTTGGAGGGATCATCCAGCACAATATCTTTATCACCCGCCACCACCACCTTCTTATCAGCTCCTCCCACAGCAAGGATACATGACTGAAATTGAAAAAAAAAGCATAAATATTGTGAAAAAATGTAATGCTTCAGCTTCTTAACTATGTCAGAAAGTTTGTCATGTGAGGGATAAGGTTTTTAAACATTTAAAAATTGTTAAAACTTAAAACCATTAATAGTTTTGTGTTTAAAATATTTAACATGTGGTATGTAAAAGCTCAGGGCAAACTTCCATAAGCACTGGAGATCAAAGTTCATTTCAAACACAAACAATAGGAGTTAAAGTTAATCAAATGAGGGTTTTTTTTTTTTTTTTTTTTTTTTTTTTACCTGTGGAGGGTTTATTACGGCGGAGAAATTCTTAATACCAAACATGCCTAAATTTGAAATTGTAAAGGTGCCACCCTGAAAAATATGAAAATAAATACAGATAAGAGGATATATTGCCTTATTACTAATTTTTTAAATGAAACCATAGTCTCAAATTGCACTTAATTAATATTATTAACTCAGTCTTTCCCAAATCTCTTTGTATAATTTGAAGTAGAAATAATCATATTGAATTAAAAACATTCTAAAGAGATTTTTTTTAATGATAAAAGCAATAATGCTCTTCTAAGAACTGAGTGACTGTATTTAATTTGCAATAAGAAACAACATGTTAATTTTGAAGAGAAAACAAATTTATAAAACCTGATACTCTTGAGGTTGTAGCTTCCCTTCCCTTGCTTTAGCTGCTAGGCTGGCTACATCTTGAGCTATTTGGGATAATCCCTGCAAAGTGATGGGCACAAATATTATTGAACTAAAAAGGAAAAAAAAACTTGATCTAAACATGTTATAATCAACAACAAATATGCATTTCAGCTAGTGGATATCAAATATTTTCAAGAAGACATTTAAAGATTTAAAGAAAAAAAATTTTTTTTTAAAAAGATTATACATTTTGAATACTTTTGGCACATTCAAAGCCCAATGCCAGAAGAAACCTTTATTAAAATATTTTAAAAAGCAATCAAACCTTTTTAAGTACCAAACTTTAAAAATGCTTATAATTAAACCTCCATTTTTAACGAGTTTTAAATAATTAGAAGCAAATGTACATCAGTTAGTTTTGTAAATTTATCCTCTTGGCTGTCAAGCTTTTTTTGTGTGCATATTTGATATATAAAATAAAACGTTGTGATAAATCAGAGATTCATTAGGGCAGTGAGTTAAGACCAGTTGTTTAAATATAATTTATTATGAGGTAAGTCCTTACTTTTGTTTCCGCATTAAAGACAATAGGTGTTATGAGTCCATTATCTGTTGCAACAGCTATACTGACATCTACTGTAGAGTATCTGTGGATTAAATGATTCGTACTATATATGATCTGTTTTTATATAAAGTACTCAGATTGTGAGGTAGCAATAAGTACTCAAAGCTTACTACATTTTTGAAAGTTAAAGGGAAATTTCTTGAAAATTAATTTGTAAATATTCTCTATAATTATTTCCGGATAAAGTTTCCCATTAATTAAAATTGTAAACTATTTAAACTTACTGTCTTATAAAGTCTCCCATCCATGCAGAATTAGCTTCAGGAACCTTCTTGCACGCAAGTGCAGAAGCTTTAATAATGAAATCATTGACTGAAATTTTATTCAGCTTTCGCTTTTCCAAAGCTGCATTAAGGTCCTTACGAATACTGAAAATAATGTAATATTAACATAAGATGGGCGTAACTAGATGTAGAATTAATTATTTAGCACTTACAACAAATTTCAATTCAACACTAACAATGTCAAAAATAAAATATAGCAATTCTTAAAATAAATGAAAGCAAGAGTCCATTGTTCTATGTCTCATTATAAGATTTTGGTACTCTGTCTAACTTTAAAACATGATTTCAGACTTTAATTTAAACAAGATTTTCTGGCTAATACATGTTTTTGTAAATTTACACACATTCTTTTGCAAGTGACTCAAAACAGTGCTTTTGGTGTCTCTTTTTAAAACCATAGTACGGTACAGAAAAGTACTGATTTCACAATTATTTGATGAGAGTGAAGAAAACATCTGAGCTGGGGGGATGTGACACTGGGGGGATGTGACACTTTGTGACTGGTGTGTGTGTTGAGTGTCTGAAAAGGTAATTTTTGGCATGACATAATTTGCGAATGACCCCTTATTTTTTTCTCTCCTTGTGATCTCTTCAAATTGGGCCCAATGCTTGCTGAATGAAGGGAAGTGCCATGGTTCAGCATGTAAGTTTACTCAATACAAAAACATACAATTGATTTTTTAAATATTATATCACCAATTTGAATGTATGCCATTAATTTTAATAGTTCATTTATATGATAGCACTTCTATAGCAAAAAGGAACACAACCTGGTTATAAATGCAATATTTAGAAGCTATGGGATAAAAAAGTGAATTCAAAGGAAAGTTGATTGCACTGATTTAAATTGTTTGTATTTTTTTAAAGTATGATTCTATAGTGTATACATCATTTCAATAGCTTTGTAAAAATATGATGTATGCTCTTGCATGTAATCTGAAAAAAGTTAATGATTCATCATTTACAATTAATATCTTATTCTAATCATTAGATTGTTTCCTCATAAAGAAATACCTCAGAATCTTGTCTACATTGACATCAGTGTTGAGATAATAATGAGGAATCGTTTGTTTAGAAAGTGTAAGTCGCTTTGCTATGACCTGTAAATATTTTTTTTAAAAAATACATGTACATTAGCCCCTGATAAATATGGGAAATCAGGATATGTAAGCAAAAAAAAAATATTTTTTTTTAATGTTACTTTCTGAAGCCTTTCAATTCAATCCTACCTAGTAAAGTAAACAAAAAACATGAGATTTCCCATGTGTTCAATCAAATTTAAGACAGGTAAAACATAATGTGTCATTTCTTTACAACATTTCTGCATACTGCATCAAAGTTATAGTAACATCCTTATTTAGTTTCAGCCTTCATATTAATAATGCTTTAATGTTGCATGTTGAAAAAACATCAATAACACACTACCTGTCTAATATTCGATAGTGGCAAATCAGTAAAACTTGTTGATGTAGCGGCTGAAGGTGCTGAAAGGCCTGTTGCTGCTGCAGCAGCTGGTCTAGCTGAAAGTATGTCATTAGCTCGTATCTGACCATCAGGTCCACTACCAGCAACACTCTGGAGGATGTATGGAGTGATTATTTGTTTTATACCAACTAATAAAATACTGTAATGTTAATATCTACAACAGAATAATTGACCAAAATGACTCATTCAATGAAACTGGTCAAGTGAAGAAATATTGAAGGATAGAAAAATCATGCAAATTAACATAAATCCTTTATTTCTTAATGAAGTTAGTTACCCTGATAATATATAAAATGTGCACACAAAAAATTTTTCTTCAATTTTTGCAGCCACCTTACCATACGTGTAAATAACTTACTTACTAATATATGCCCAGAAAAACAATATGAAAACAAGATGATATTATAATATTATACGAAAATTTGGTTTAAAAGATAAAAAATAATTCATTTTAAAGAATGTTTTTATTTTTGATGTTAAACCAATTATTGTTTTCGGAAATCTTGTTTTAAACAAAAATTAATTTGTTGTAATGTATTGTAAATAAGTTGAGCAAATAAAAATAAAAGAATAATCTGTTTTGAGAATGACCTACCCTCAAGTCAACACCTTTCTCTGCCGCTAAAGTCTTGGCTAATGGAGTGGCAAAGACTCTGGTTCCAGTACTTGAAGCTGGTGCAGGTGGAACAGAGGCAGGCGGGGTCAGTTTAGTTGGAGATGGTGCTGGAGCAGACGCCTTAACTTCAGGTGTAGGTGAAGGGGGGGGAGGTGGGGCTGCTGCAGGCCCTGACCCTTGTGGGGGCTGGTCATCACTAGCACTAGCTACATAGTCTTTGAATGCAGCAATATCAGCCTCAGAGCTTACAATAATGCACATTAACTGAAATTTAACACAAACATTAATGATTTTCATTCTTTCAGTCTGTACATGAAACTTACATTATTATTATTTAACTAATATTTCAAATTGATTAATAGCTCACTATATCCAACCAACTTTGCTTAAAAAATAACTATCCAAACCCAAGATAGTCTGATCCATATGATTCTTATTTTCAAATGATTTCTGAATAAAAAATGTTTGATACAATGTTTGATTCTGCAATTCTTGTTTGACCACTTATGGGTTTGCTCCTTTAAGATGCGTCATGACTTTAAGATCTTCATTCAATGAAAATTCCAGATTGGTGCGATAAAAGTAATTTTAGCATATGTTCAGACATAAATAAATGCTCAAGTTTATTTGTCTCACCTACAAAGGCAAAGGTATCTTTAATGGGAAAAAGAGTAATTTGATGTTAAAGCTGGATTGACATTGACATTGCAAAGGGGTTTAAAAAAAAACAACGTGGCATTTTGGATAATTCAGTCGAGTACTTTCTTATTCTGATGTGTATCAATATCTGGCAAGATTAGTTTGAAATTGATTGGGAAATATTGTGAAGAAATAATTATTTTTAATTTAAACTACAGGCAAATTACTTTTGGAAGACTTGAAGTTGAAGCAAATTTTGAAAATATTTTAAAATGACATTACCTTCCCAAGACGGACATCCTTTGTCCCTTCAGGAATAAAAATTTTAGCAAGATAGCCTTCCTCAGATGACTCAAAACCCATTGTAGCCTTGTCTGTTTCTATATCTGCTAATAAGTCACCCTCTGAAACTTTGTCTCCTTCCTTTTTTTGCCATGAAACAATTGTTCCCGATTCCATGGTAGGTGACAGAGCAGGAAGAACAACCTTGACATGGTGGGGCAAGCTACCTGGGAAGCAGAGTGAAAACAATAAATAGATTTGATTAAAAACATTAACAATTCAATTGTTTCCAATAGAGCTAAAAATAGGCATGATATCCTTGTACATAGTCGCATCTGTGCTGTCTCCTCCCACTTTGGGCCCAAGCCATTTGGATTCAGACTCCACACATTCCCTTCCCATAAGGGTAGTTTTCAGATAAGGGACGGTTTCTTTTGTACTAGCTCCCATGTTGTCTATGCCATTGTTTGTACCCACTGCTAGATGGTGTTAGACTGGACGCCACCTCTCTGACAGATGTACTGAATACCTTTATAATATTGCAGAAGATAACCAATGTCCCTTTCAAAATACTTAAATAGCAGTGACCCCAATGGCTCAAGAGATTTTGGTATCCCCGTCATTGTGTCTTGTACCAACACACCAAACAGGATAAACTTGAAAAACAAACTGATTCAGACTTATGGGACCTTAACAACACATGCAATGTCATGTTCCCATTCACTTTTTTAACCTTTTCTGCCCCCCCCCCCCCCCCAACTAAAAGGCAACTTTAAGTGGACTTGCTTTTTCTCTCTTCCATCTCATTTTGCCTGTATTAAGTCTCTCACTTACTTTTGTTCTATCACATTCCTCTTGCTGCCCTCTTGAATACTACATTGCAGCTAAGTGTTTATATATATTTTATATTATTTTTACTGTTGTTTGCTGAAGAAGGCTTCCCTATATTGTTGCATATTTTTTCAGGTGTTCCCATTCTTATTTTTTAAAATATTTCCAACAAACTCTAAATTCAGACAATTAACTGTGATGATGGGAAAAAAAAAAAAGTACCCGGTATGCACTATAAATACTTTGCCACCAATTCATTGCTAGTAGAACCAAATCAAGTAGCTTAGCAGGATCTTTTTTTTAAAAATGCTATGGAAAATGTTTTTATTCAATACTATTTATTTAACTACATGACTGATAAGCTTGTGCAGGTGTTGTGACCAGGTCTAACAATGATTCAAGAAAGAGAATTCAATTGGTTCTATAAATTATGGGGGAAAATGAATAGCTGTGAAGCAATCTACCTGAACTGTAACATCTTTTAAATTCCTTCTTATTATCTGCAACTGTAACCAGAGCTTGGAATTGGTAGGCTGAACTTACACATCTATGGGAGAAGCAATAATAGTATCATTAAATGAGGTGGTAAAATCCCTTCTTACAGCTAATACATAATTGTATACAAATATAAATAAAAAGTAAAACTTTTTTTTTTTAAAATAAATAAGAAAAGTAGTTTTTTAAGAGTTTGTTCACCAGTAATATATGAATAATATAATTTTAAAAAATCTTATTCAAAGTGTTATTTAGTGTTCTGATTTGAATGTAACCTAATTACATGTTACAAAAGATGAAATTTAACAATAAGTACTAAGTGTTTGTTTAAACAAAGCCTGAGTTTTAAAAGCATTGCAATGGGTTGAGTAAATAACTAACAGTAAAAAGATTTCCCTATCCTTAGTTGGACTGGCATTGTCATGACTCGTCAAAACAAGCATATTTTTCTATGTTCTCCAACTGAGGCTTCATATTTAATTTCTATTTTCTATAAATGACTTAACTTATTATGTAATAGCTTTTTATTATGTAATAAGAAACAATAATACTCTATAAATAAAAAAAAGAGAAAGTGAAAGAAGCTGTGACAGGCTGATAATGTGCTGGACAAGAGCTAATTCTACCACTACATGACAATTCATTAATCATATTAACAGCTCACCAGGCTCTTTGGATCACAAGAATGCATTTACTTTACTTAGCCTAATATTTAACATATAGAAAGGAACTTGACAGCCGGCTATCAGATGTACAATAGTTACAGCTTAAAAAGAATAATATTCCTTTACTCTAAATCTAAAATTATAGGCCATAGACACAATTTACATCATGCTATTTTGGCCAATTTCTTTACCTCATCTACCCCAAGCCCAATCGTCAAAAACTGAGACACCCACATAATAATACATTGTCACACAGTTGTGATTCCCTCCTCCTCAAGATGTGTGATGTCCATAAATGACAGTAAGTGAATTTATGAATAACTCCCAGTCTGAATGTTACAGAGGACTAGTGTCTAGAGTAAGTATGAGAAAATACTCAATAGAAGTATGCTTTTGTTTGTCCTTTGCAAGCGAATATGACCAAGGTTATATTTGACAGTGTGTGTGTGCAGGTGGCTTGCTTCAGATTCCTATTTGTTTTTAAAGTCAAAATCCTGTTTATACTAGACTGGTTATTTCATCAAGTTCTTTTACACATTGTAATACGTTGTACTAGCACTGAATCAACTCAAGTCCTTTTTCATAATAAATGCAACTTTAATTTTTAATATATAATGTAAATTCACAGACTGTTAACGCCATATACACATGTATAGCTCAGCTCACCATCAGAGAGAAATCACAACCTTCTTCCACAAATTCCTTTCATGCCTGCCGCACGACTAAAACGTACATCACAAAACAGACTAGACAATATGTCCTAATAAGCATAAAAATATGTCACCAAGTAAGTGCGAAAAACCTTTACTAAATAATTAATCTCAAAAACACATGTAATCAAACATAATATCCAATCGCAACAATTATTCATGAACTCCCATACTCGACGTTGGTGCCGGGAAAGCTCTGTGCACAAATAAATACTATGACTATATGAATGCTATTTGATATAAAGTCATAGTTAGGGCTGTACACATATTATGTTGTGAGAGCCCACTTTAATAGGCTACTACTAATATTATAGAATAGGCAATGGGCTCAATAATTTCATGTGTTGTAGGCATCTTGCACTATACCAATAACTACCGGTACACTAAGAGTAGAGAGACTAAGACAAATAGGGCTTGTCATTTAATGGCGGAAATCTATTATTAGAATTGCTGTAATCATCCGGATACTTGGGTCGGACAAAATGTTAACACTGTTCAGTACTACTATGTTACTATGTTAGCTAAGTGTCCCAGAACCTAAATCAAAACTTTTTTACAACTATATTTTACAAAATATTTGACAGTTGAATTTGACACAATTTTTTTACTGCTATTTTGTGAAATGGGACATTGAGCGTACGGCCCATGTTGTAACAGTGACTCTAAATACAAGGATCGATATGCTGAAACTTACAAGGATCGATATGCTGAAACTGAAACACACTATTAGCTGCCATGTTTTAAGCAATATTTGTCTGACATTCTAAAAATAGTAACGCTATGACGTTTTCCGGTCTGAGAAATGACAAACCCAATTGAATTGAGCCTATTCAACTTATTATTGCATTGAAAATCTGTGCATACTAAAAATTACTAAACTATGCATATAATAGATACTCAAGATAGCAAGCCTATCTATAACTGAAACTCACCTATGATTATAACATTGAAATTTAATGTTAAAAAAAATAATTAAGTTGGTAAAAATAAATTTTGTTGTTTTTTTCAGCTCAGATGGAGCATCAGCATTGTGGGTGATAATTTAATTCTAATAAAGCAGGCCTAGGCCTACAGTTGGTCTTGTAACTGGTGACACAGTCTCAGTACACACACTACTCACTACATCCTAGCAACATACCTAGGACTCGTAAGAGATATCTATTAATGATCGACTGATTGTTGACAATAAATTTTATGGGGGAGTAAAGTCAAAGTTGAAAGTGAGTAGTGTAACTAACTGAATACTAGAAGACTATTACTATTACTAAGCCTACCTCTTAATGACGCATTTTTCAACAGCCGTATTAAGGGTGCATAAGCACTGTTTCGATATTGTTTGTCCTGTGCATGTAGGTTTCCGTCTAATAAAACTACGAACTAGTGTTTGCGAACGAAACATTGCGATTCCTTGCCTTCAGGTTTCGTGTTGTACAAAAATTTCTTACACGGGCAAGGTCAGCGGCATGATTTGTGGCAAATAATGGAATCGATTCTACTGTCGACAATTTTTGTTAATGTTAAAAGATGTAAAGAACGTATGATCTAAGATGTGATATTTTACAACTTTTGTGAATTATAAACTTTATAATTTTAAAACTAATAATTTACTGTTCAGCTCTATTATTGTTAATTTTTTACTTTTATCTTTCGTATGCCAACTCGAGCCTAGTATCGTAGCTTTTATTTCAGCACGGAATCAAATTAATGTTACTTTTTCGTATTTTTATTACGCTGGTCTAAAGCTTTAATTTTTCTTCCCTGCAAATGTTCTCCAAATTACCGATGTGCAGATTGTGTTTGCGTATTTTAACCTATAATATATTGCAATATCCATTTCTAAATTATAGATAGATTTATTGATTATTAAAGGTTCCACTAAATCCAATTTTTTAAAACAAATAATCACAAGTTCTGGACCCTGTCTATCAGTACGAGTACATCATACATGACTAATGTATCATTTAAGTGTATTTAGTATTCTATTATTTAAAAAGCAGAGAAGGGGGAGAGATTGCAATCAGGTTAGCAAACAAGGAAATGAATGAAACATAATATGGGAAAACCTTGAGAGAAAAAATATCGCAACAAAACAACAAACGTGTCGGCAAGAAGCCTTCATCAGTAATCAGCGAACAAAGAGCATTAAAATCGGAATTAAATTAAAATAACACTTTGCTGAAATATAGTATCCGAGAGGGTGGCACTGACAGAAAATACTTAGGAACTGGGTTTCTTTCAGCTATATCTCCGGGGGGCACTGCCCCACGGGGAAAGCCAAGTGCCCCCCTCCGGAGAAAAAATATGTCAAACAATAATAAACAAGCACTGCCCCCCCCCCCGAAAAATCTTAAGTGCCCCGGGGGGTGGGAGGGGGATTTCTTAAATAATCACTGTTTAGGTGAGAGATTAAATAAAGGTAAAAATGAACAGAAGAGAGGCAAACCAAGCCCATTGCGATTGGTCGTGAAGAGGGGGTGGGAGGCTGGCAGAGACGAGTTTTAACAGGTGAATGAGAACATGAGATTCATGCCATGTGGTGTCAATGTTCCATAAGTCTGGATCAGCTTGTTTTCTAAATTCACCCGGCTTGGTGTGCTAGTGCATGTCACTATCACAGTAATAGTCAAATCCAAAGCCCCCTTGTGGTCGCTTCTATTGAAGTGTTGAAAGAAGGGACACTGCTTATCTTGCGTAATAATACAGAGGTGTTCAGTACATCTGTCAGAGAGTCAGCATCCTGTCTCACCTATGTACGACATCTGGCAGCGGGTGCAAATAATGGCGTAGATGACATTGCGGCTAGTACACAGGAAACCGTCCCTTATCTGAAAACCGCCCATAGGGAAGAGAATGCGTTTAGTCTGGACGACGAAAGGGCAAGTGTTGCAACGGCTGCGTCCGTATGTAAAGTAGGAGGGTTAACTACGCACAAGGAGGTCTCGCAGATGTTTATCACACCTAAAAACATTGAGTGGCGGGGAAGAGAAAATGTTGTGTGTGTCAGGGTTGGCAAGGAGAATGGCACGGATTTTAAGAAAAACACGTTTGGCTATTAGATTGTGAGTCAGGATTTCTTTAAGCTAGATCTCCAGGGGGCCGGGCCCCCCGGGGAAAGCCAAGTGCCCCCCCCCCCAAGAAAAAAATATGTCCAACAATAAATCAACTGGCACTGTCCCCCGAAAAGCTGAAGTGCCTCCCCACCGGGGAAAATTTTCTGAAATAATCAGTGATTGTGAGGATGATAAGTGAGGATAAGTTTGGTCCTGTCATCATTGTCACTCTGAGGGGATCTGCAGGCATCAGCACGAGTAATATTTTAACCCTTTTTATAGGGCTTATGAAAGTATTTTTTTCCGGGTAGGACCTATATCGGAAATAGTCGATCATCTCAAGTGCCTTGTCCCAAAAGTCATCCTTCTACATGCAGAATCGACGAAGCCAGTGGTTCCTCAAATGTTTTCGTTACCGGCGCCTATGCCAAATTTAGGTTTCCACAAGGTGCCCTTTGTTAAAGTCTAAATTCGAAATGGCGAATGAATAAACAAAATAAAATAAAGGGTTGGGTGAAAATCTAGTAACTACAAACCGTAGTCACTTAAGTGATTGCACCGCGTCAGCTAGATGCCACATTGGACTGAAAGTGGAAGTAAAATTATAAAAAGTGTAATATTTCACGGCGACCCTGTATGGAAGCCGATGCAACCCAGGACAGGGCCATGCCGATGAAATGCAGCACCTGGGATGAAGCCGGAAAATGGAGCCACTTAAAGTATGGAAAAATGCCCCCATGGGGTGGACCAGTAAAATTACGATTTTTACACCCCTTGTCTTTCTGAAGTATATGGGATTTTATCTAAAGACGATTTTGGCGCCCATGATGTTGGCACCCTGTGTGACTGCCCTCTTTGCCCCATTCTCATGGTTCTGCCCTTGAGCAGTGGTGTATCCAGAGCGACGCGGCGTATATTATGGGAACCACTGGGCTGGCCAAACAGTCGGCGGTGTATACTCGTGTATACTCGTGACATAATTTTCTTTTATTTCTTTGACGTCACAATTATCTATGAATTATTTGATTTCTTTGGAGTTTGAAATCTGCTGTTACGTGCGCTTTGGGGTGGTGGACTTGGGGTGGGGGTAGTTCAAAAAGTGCGCGCGCAACTGGGGGAGGGATGAAAATGTGACATTTTGTGCGGACGTACTAAATAGATGGCCCCTAATTGTCCCGCTTAGCTCAGCCTGCCATTTTTAAAAATTCTGTTACTAGCGTGGGATCATGATATAGTTCATACAATGCCTGGTTGGTTCATATTCGCCATCCCTATTCATTCTTTGTTGGTCTGTATTCGGATAACTTTTCTCTCCAATGTGTCTAATATGGTTTTGTTGTGTTTTTGTTGGGGCAAAGTTTCACTTTCGTAAAATAATAAATACGTTTTTTTCCAGTTTTCAAGTGAAAGATGAAGGAAGTATGATGCCACTGATTTCACGAAATAAAATTCCCGAATAACTGAGCTAATTGAGATTCTTTAAAAAAAATATCGCAAGTGCTTTTGGTGCGTAATATTTTCTTTTGTTTTTCTGAAATAGTTGGTAAAATAAATCTGCAGTGTAAATGCGGGTGGGTCGTTAGAATATTAATATTATAGTTCAGGGCACGAAAAATTGTGCAGTTGTGAGCCATGGGGGGGGGNTGTTGGGTGGGGGGGGAGGGGGGGGGGGTATAGAGTACTAATTGGGATTCTTATAAAATGCGTTTCTTGAATGCACATTTTGTCAAATGTTCAACCTCACCCACATTACTCGATATTACATTTCATATAGGATTTATACAAAACTTTGTTTTTACGGGTTGTTTAATTTTGGTTGTTAACTACCAGTCCTGTTTGTAGTGATGGGTCTTCTAACTCAATAAAAACTTTTGATAGCCCAATATCTTTATTACTTTTCTCTAACAGTGCAGTGCAATGTCATCACATAGGCAAAATACTGCTAGGGTTGATTGTAGAGTTCCTATTTGTTTTGGGTCTTGGGCTTCCGTTAGAAAGCATCATGTGATTGTTCCTCGGGTGTCAATTTTCTATGCTTAAATCGCGGGATGAGGCTAACTCCATTTCCATTTCCCGGGATAAGCAAAACCCTGGGAAATGAGAAACCTAGCAAAGGGTCATATTAATATTTATTTATAATTATCAGCTTCCTAAGATTTTGATGTCTTAAATACAAAATATAATAACTGCAACAGTAAATTATTAAGCGTAAAATAACCAAGACGAAACGTAATCATTTATATCATTTATAATATATTTAATTAATTTAATATTTAGAGATTTTTTTCCTTCTAAAAAGTGGGTGTTTGATTATATAGTTTAGTACGAAAATGTAATTTGTTTAGTAAGAGTATTATAACTAATGTAAAAATGTTCTCGAGAATGCTAACATATAAAATAAAAAAATACTGAAATCATTAATAACATTTTATTCCCAGTTTTTGTAATAGTTATATATAAGGGTATAATATTTGTTTTTTTTTAAATTAAATTTTGAATTTTTAATAAATACGCCAAGTGAACAATGTAAATCTCCGTTTTAATATTTTTTGGGACAAGTTTTTATCAATCCTGGAATGAATTACCATAGCACCGTTTACAAATGGCGTTCACCTGTAACTGATTTTGAACATTTATACACACGTAAGACAGACAATTATTTCATCGGAATGACAGGTTTGATTATAAATATAATGCTATTTCGTGAGTAAAACAACACCTTGTTTTATCATTACTACACTTAAAATTATTTGATCAACATCGCTGCTACGCGTCTGAGTATAGACCGCACGTCGTAACGTGAAAGTAGTGGAACGATTTCATAATTTAGTCGAGAGACTGTGAATGTAATGTTATTTATTTGATTAACAAGACATTGACATATTTTTGTTAAGAAATAAGGGTAAATTTTAAGGACGAATGCCACTATTTTATCGAATTTTGTGAATGTATCCTTAAATCGATCCCTATGCCTAACCTGAACCCTAAATCGATCCATATGCCTAACCTGAACCCTAAATCGATCCATCAACCTTACCTAAACCCTAATTCACTGCAACTATAATAAACACACAAAAGACGCTGTGGCATCTGTCCTTAATTTTAGCAGAAATAAGAAAACATTACCACAATCCTCCATCTTTTTTCCAGTAAAAAACAGAATGAAATGTTTACTACTTAATTATGGTTATAGAATACAGGTTAAAGTTAACTTATAAATATAAGTAGGGGCCTATATGGCAAGGCATAAAGGGCCTATAAGAAGTATGTCAAATTGAGCTCATTAATAATTAAGTTGGCTGCTACTGATTCAAAAGGAAGTCATAGCTCATGGCTTCAGTGGGTGGGTTTACTTTTTTAAATTATAAATTATTATTCATCATTATTGGTTTAGTCTTTAGTCAATACATGATTAACGATAAAAACTAAAGTGTCAATTGGGTAGGTTTATAGAGTTGAGTAGAGATAGTTTCTTGAAGTTTTGGATGTTTGGTAGTGCAGTATGGAGAATGTTTATTACATTTTTAACAATATTCCATATGGAACAAATTGCTAATTTAATTTTTAAAAGTAATTTACACTTACATTTACATCCATGATTGGGAGAAATTAAAAGAAAAAGTTACTAGCTTGAGTAAATTTTATCAAGTGCTGGAGAAGTGGAGCTTTTAGAAGGGAGATGTTGGAGGGCATGGGGATGGATAGTGGATTTTGATGGATGCCATGGACTGTGTTTGTGAGCATGGTTTGGTTGTGGATTGAAGATGTTGAATTAAGGGTAAGTTGCTTACTCAGGGCTGGTTGTGTGACTGGCAAACAAATTTGTTTTTTAAATGCTGTGTGAACATGGGGTGGCAGTTATTATGTTGAGTTAACAGTTAGTGTGCCTGAAGATGTCAAGTTTGCAGACTGATGGAGATTTTATTTCTAAGGGTGACTGGAGCCTTTGTTGTCAGAGTCTAGCGGTCATCAAGTTGTTGTTAGCTGTTCATTGGATTGGTATACTAAGAAACCATTTTGTGTACTTTGTGAATAAAGAATAAGGAAATCGTACAGTGTGCCAGTTTTCATAATAATTAATAAACAATGTGTGGCAGAAAAATGCCTGACAAATTTGAGCCTACCAACTGCCTGTCAGAATACAGGGGAGTTTGTAACCCAGGAGAAACGCTGTATTGAGTAGGGAGGGGCATTTTGGGTAGGGCTTGAGGTAGGGGACTATGGAGAGGACATAGATCAGAATATTATGTAATCATCTTTGTATAGACAACAATAGAGTGCCCAACAACCTAATTTCTATGTTTCTATACATCTTTATCCCAAGTATTGGACATCAATTCAAATACATTTCAAAAACCGTAGCAAGAGTGTGAGGCTCTTAAGCCAACCAACATGTCAGCAGATCTGAGAGATAATAGTAAGTGAACCCCGATACACATTTCCATACATGCAATCCTGTAATGTTTACCTGTACTTTATACAGTTTTAGATGTTCGGCTATAAAGAGTTAATATGGTGTTCCAAGGATTTAGACCCCAACAAATATTTTTTGTTTGTACACAACACAATAAATTCACTATAAGTCAAGGAAGCTCAAATCCTATTGGTCTGTTCAAAATTACATTTGGTATCATGTTTGAAATGGTATGCCATTTAAACCTTTGATGTAAACATAGAATCTGAGCATGGATCGGCCAGTATTTATGTAATATACGATAGTTATTTCGGGAATCCCTATGATCGTACCTGTAGCTACTTTGAATAGTATACCATTATTACAAATGCATTTGTGTAATAATTTCAGCAACAACAGTTATTTTATTTTCTATTTAATAATTAAATATATTTAATATCACTAACAAAGAATAAATTAATTATTAATTATGTCTATTATTAGTATTACGCCACAGTATGAATACATTTTACACGTTAAGACTTTCTAAAAATAAAAAAAGGTTGTATAAGAAGGCCTATATTTTATATAAGGCCCTCATCAGTAAGAATTGTATTTTGTAATACTTTCTTACTTACTTCTTTTTACTCCAGCTTAAAACTTTCAATTAAGTGGATGAATCTAATTTTTTTCAAAAATTTTGACACCCATTAAGGAAAGTTTCTTACTCTGATTGGCTGACCAAATACTCTGTAAATATCTTTGCTTCATCAATCGAATCATCACATGCATTTTGCAAAAAAGACATTTAAATGCTTGCTTCAGGCTATTATGAAACTGAGGCACATTTTTAAACATAGTTGCACAAAGAAAACTTTGCGGTAATGAAGAGAGATTCTACCTCTTTTAAATCCTTCTTTTTTTCACCTCCATCATGTAAATAATCTATCAGATAAAGTCAGAAGGGTGTAGAACTTATTTGCAAATTTCATTGCAATCACATGTCATTTACATTGCAAATTTAAAAATTACAATTGTATTAATAGATACTTTAAAAAAAAATGCAATTGCATGCCATTCTTATTTTCTTCTTATGGAATATTTCAGAGAGAAAGTCAGATAAAAAGAAGGACAGACCTCCTCCAGAGATAGTCTATAGCACATATATTTTTGCCAATGGGGATAAATATGGTAAGTAGCATCTTCATTAATTTTTATGGGCTGGGGCCCAAACCCATCATGAAATTTGCAGTAAGATCCTGTCTGGAAGATCTTTTTCAGCACACCTGTTCTCAGATTGTTAGGTCATTACTATTATGAGCTTATTAATTCACGTTTTGTTGCTTGTTAGTTACACCCCAAAAGTCCTCAAGTGCTCTGCTTTTTCTTTGAAGACTTAGGTTCAGAATATTCAAATCCTTTTGTTTATAAAAACATACATCGACAAGTTCACTGTTTGGTTAAGCTTATTTAATTTATAACGCACTTGCCAAAGTGATATGGAAGAGTAGAAATTTTTAAAATCTTTAAACGAAACTCAGGGAAAAGCTGCTTAAGAATGCCATTTATAAATAATTAAAAGCTACTTTCAAAGATTAGTTTCTTCCTCTTGTGTAGCTCCTTTTTATAAGTCTGCCTGTAAGCTAAACATATGACAGCTGATTATGTTGCTTGTAATTCTGCCTGTAAGCTAAATATATGACAGCTGATCATGTTGCTTGTAATTCTGCCTGTAAGCTAAACATATGACAGCTGATTATGTTGCTTGTAAGTCTGCCTGCAAGCTAAACATATGACAGCTGATCATGGTTTGCTTATAATTCTGCCTGTAAACTAAACATACAACAGCTGATCAGCTGATTATGTTGCTTGTAAGTCTGCCTGCAAGCTAAACATATGACAACCGATCATGTTTCTTGTGAGCTCAATGTAACACAAAAACAATATATTTGGAATTCAAATTTGTTTATGCTATAATAGATGTTTTTGACAAACTATAATTTATGATTTATATTCAACAAAGATACTTTTAATGCACAGAAGGAGACTGTATACAAACTGAGTTTGGGTCAGTTGAGAGAACAGGGAGAGGTACACATACAAGCTCAAATGGAATAATTTATGAGGGTTCCTGGGAGAAAGATTGCATGAACGGAAAAGGAAAACTTACCCACCCTTCTAAGGCGTCATACGAGGGGGACTTTGTAAATAACCTTTTTCATGGCTTTGGAAGGTATACATGGCCTGATGGGTCATTTTATGAAGGGAGTTTTGTTGAAAACAGGTTTGTAATTTTTCTTGTTGCTCTATTTACATCAAATCCACAAGAATTCCTTTAAATAATTTCTTAACGGCAATGCATTGGACCTTCTACAATATTATATTATTATGCTCTGTTGCTGCATGCGGCTCTTTGAAGTAATAGATGCAGCTATTGAATAAAGCTTATTATTGTCTGTCTCTTCAAACAGCAATAGTTATCGATGTTTTATTTTTTTGTGATTTTGTAATGTCTAGGTTGGAAGGAGGAGGTGTATTCCATGATACTGAGGGACAAGTCTGGACAGGAACTTTTCATTTCAAGGCAGCACCAGGGCTTAAGTTCAAACTAAATATGAATTAAATTATTTAAACATCTAGGGCGTTTTGTGGCCTGCTCTATCAAATCTATGTAAAGATAACATAAATGTGATAAATTATTCCTGAAATTTAGCCAGAACAGAAAATCAATGTACAGGTGTTATAATTTTGATATTTTGAGGCTAAAAATTTAACCACTCCACTCCCATCACAAAAAAAGTAAGCAATATCCCCCTTTGATAACTGATTTTAGTTTAGCCTGTAGCATTCCTTATTTTACTGCTGTATAAATTAGTATAAGAAATATATGGTGACTTCATTGATATTAAGGTTAATTAAACTGAAATAGAAAAATTTATGCTTGGTAAAATTTTTAAATACAGAGCTTCAACCGCAAATATTGTATTAAAAAAATCAGATGCCTGTGCCGACATTTATAAATTCAGTCATGGTTTAATAAACTTTTCATAAAACTATTAGTTGTTTTTTTTTTCATGTTATATGAAAATGTTTGAAGTAGAGAAGGTATTTCCAATTATTCTCACGATTATTGAATTAATACTTCATCTTTTTGCTAGCCTTTTGTGATTAAAACCTTGTTAGTCAAAACTTAATATTACATTTAAATAGTGATAATACCCCTGTGTAATGACATTATAATGCCATTCCTTCTAACTTATGATATATTTTCATTCTGTATTCTGTTGTTGTATCTTTGAGATATAAAGACCTTATGAAAGTTTAAGTGCTTCTTTTGTTGCCCTTAAGCTTCATACTCACGTCTTTAATAAAATTTGTGACAATATTGTAAAATAAATAAATTTGACCAAACATAGTTTATTCTTGTGAAAATGTGTTTATCTGCAGTAAATTATAATTTTAAAATAATAATTATACATTATGATGTACACATAGAAATTTAAGTGGGTCATAATCCAGTTATCTTGATTACTGGTGTGGTCCTCCACTTTGAAAGTGCAGGCCATTTTGGACGTGCCACCAAATGTTGGAAGGTAACTGATTCTTTTTATTTGATTGTTGAATAAATTACTACTCAGGTGTGATTCCTTGTTTGTATCGTTAAAAAAAAATGCATGCTACATTCATAAAATGGTGTTTTAAATAGAAGACCGAGTGTATTTACTACATAGGGCTTCCCATGTCTTGAAAAAAAATTATTAAATCAGCATTTATTTTCCATGTGTGGAATTTAAATAAAAAAGTTAATAGATATTTCCAAATTGAAATTGTAAACAAAATTTTCTTATCAATAGTTTTTTCAACTGCCCCTCACTTGATTTCTGCCTTCTTGTTTGACTTCCCACATCTATCCAATGAGCTGCACCATTGTTAAATACGCTAGTGATAAACTTGAAACTTTTTTTAAATTGTTATTTTTTTTTAGATAGCTTCCATCTCACTGTCACCTGGCACTTAACCTCTCCAAACACATGTGTGTCCAGAGTTAGCTCCTATTTCAATTTTTAAATTGACAGAATTTTTATTATTTGAGACTTCTATGTGAACTAATAGGCCCACAAATGTTTTGTACCTGCCTAAAAATTAAAAAAAACCTAACCACCAGAGGGAGAATTTTTACCTGTCCCGTATCAACCATGACCAGTCTTTTTGATGCATCAGTGTGAAACTGTGTCTCACCACTGCAAGACTAATAGCTGCTTGTAAAGATAATCACTAAATAACTGAATCAAATAAAAAAAAAATCTCCAAGACTTTTTATTTGTAAAATGATCCCTCTTGACATTCATAGTAAAACATGAATGACTGAAATAATAAAAAATATAATTATCCCTCAGATTATATTATATCCAGGCAATCATAAATGTTCCTGTATAAAAGAAAACATGTTATCATATACCGGTACTAGGCAACATTGGTATTCTCAAAAAATGTACAAACAATAATATACATTTTTTTTTTACTAAGCTAACTTTATCTCCAGGGAGCAAAGGTCAACCTAACTAAAATCAACAACAATAAATATTATAAAAACTATTATCACAAAATAAAATTTATGTTACAAAACACATTACTATGCAAAAAACAATTATACATTTATTATCAACAAATTAATGTGCAGTCTAATCCCCACAAAAGCACCATGAAGTATATCAATACAACACGTCAAACAAACTCAAACTCAAAGTCCGGGGGGGAGGGGGGATTTTTTATTTTCACCAGCTAACTTGAACCCTCACAGCTCACATGGCTCAGTTTTAAAACAATAAACGTATTTATTTACAATTAGATAATACCAAGCAAAAAGGACCATTCAGATTGAGTCACTCTTGTAAAACGAAACAAATAATTGGTTAACAATTTATGGCCTTTTGAATCAATCCATGGGACAAGGAAACGGAGCATGAAAATAATGTTCAATTTAAAATTTGGACAACAACATCATCATCATCAATTGATCACACAATGACCAAAAATGCAAAACAGGCAGAAGCAATGAAGATGAAGCACAAGCCAGCGATGTTGAGGACAACCTTCTTGTGGTCTCTAGGGATGAGGAATGAGCTGCAATCATTGGTGATGGTGAAGAGACTATGGGAGACGGCCAGATACATGATGGTCGCCAGGGAGAAGTTGAGCAGTGGGTAGCCGTCAAGGAAGACGACCAGTGAACGCGCGTTTGACAACAGGTAGATGTGAAGTTGGGAGAGGTAGGTCTCCAGGGTGATTTTACCTGAAAAAAAAAAAGAATTCAGTTGTCAGATTGACAAGGAAAAAAAATTCAGTTGTCCGTTTGTCAAAGGAACTTTGGCCTATTCAAGCATAAAAATTCTCTTGTCTGCTTGTCAATGAACGCATTCATTCAGTGGTCAGTTTGTCAAGGAGCACATAAACATTATGTATTCGGAACATACAGTCTTTAAAAATGCAATGCATTTTGTGAAAGAGTTATAAGCTAGGAATATTTCCAATTAGGTGATTACATTTGTAAAAAAAATTTTGAATACCAGGATGGCATTAAAAAATAAATGCTTTCCTTTGGAGTGGCAGTCTGGGATAGTTAGCCTATGTTTTAAAGCTCTAACATAACAGCTCAAATATTAAATGGAGTTTTATATATTTGAAGGTCCATTCTGAAAATGTTTTACATTGGTCTATTCTATAGTCACATTTTAAAACAACTCTTCACAGCTTGATAATGATAATGTACCAATTAGAAATAACCCAGCAAACAATGGCAGCGGCAATATGTGAACTTCATAACTACTAAAGTTACTTGAAAATGCATGCATTAAAGTAACATGCTTTACAAGAATCCCATATAGGAATAAATTCTTGGAATTTTATTTTGCATGACTATTGGACGCAGCGTTACAGCCATACATGCATAGCTAGAGAATAATTATTTGTGATACTAGCAGATTATATAATTTAACTTGACTTACCTAACCAAGCAAACATGTTTATATGGTGAGATCTTAGCACAGGGTGGATATTTCTGGCAATGATGTAAACCAAAATTGATATCAGTGCCGTGTACGGATGCGTTGCGTTGTATTCAAACTTGTCTTTTTGCATAAATAGGAAATACCAGAGTGATCCGAGAATGAGGCAGCCCAATCCTAGAAAGATTCTTACACACAATTTCTTAATAGCTTCATTTTTATTTAGCGATTTTGAATCTAGAAATAGCATCAGTCTCTCGAAGTGTGGGTAATTATAGGCACACAGCATGCCAAAGTAACACGCCCAGTGGTCAAGCCCTGCACGAAATGACCACTCGTGCATTATATCACCAGAATTGTCGTGCAAACCAAGAATGAGTTGAAATGGTCGAAATATACGCAAGCTCCATCCAGGAATCTCAAAAATAATGGCATTGAAAAAAGCATAGGCAGCAAACTTGACGGCCATCAACTTCCGGTTTTTGTTCCATGATTTCAGCACACGCATAAAGACGTAGACTGTTAGAAACCAATACGTGTGCATTGCACATATGTAGTAGAGCATGTATTCATTGTTAGTCACCATGGCAACGAATATCACAAGGAAGTTGAGTCGGAACAGCATCTTAAGTAAACGCCATGCTGAATAGTCGTTTCTGATCCAGAAAAATGAAAAGTTTCCTGTGAAGTTTAAAGCAAACAAGGTAAACGTATTTCGTGACAATTTTTAACGACTAACATTGACATATCAATAATAAATTTTACCTAAAAATCGATGACAACCTGACAGGAAGCCGAAACCAACCAAGCAAGTATTTCAGGCATTGAAAAAACTTGACAAAGCCAATATTTCAGACATTGAAAAAACTTACCAAAGCCAATATTTCAGCTACTGAAAAAACTTACCAAAGCCAATATTTCAGACATTGAAAAAACTTACCAAAGCTAATATTTCAGCCATTGAAAAAATTTACCAAAGCCAATGTTTCAGACATTGAAAAAACTTACCAAATCCTGTCATCCACACGTAGCAGGCGATGTAGACTCTGATCCAGTTGTACCACTCTTTAGCCTTAAAGTAATGATACCAGACAAACATCACCTGCATCCAACCCTTCCATTCTTCAGTTTGTTCCCTGGGACAAAAATAAGCCCATTGGAAATATGAATGAATCGAAGATATTTGGGTACAGTGAGCTCGCAGTTTTTTAGAACACAATTGACTTCTTTTGCCTTTCTTTTTAATAAACATTATTTCACAAAATCCACAACTCCCAAAGGGCGATGCTCTTTGTCACATTCTCTAAAACAGACACAACACTTTTCAAGAGTTAAGAAATTAGAAATTAATTAAATTCTAACTTGTAAACATGATATACTTTCTGTTCGAAATCAATATTTGCCACATATTCGACAGGTATCGAATGACACATTTTACAATGTATTGAATATTTGTTGTGTCATTAGATTTTGAAACAGGTATTGAGGATTTTGAATGAGCTCCAGGACGTTCTACTTCATGATGCCAATAAATTACAGTCGACATCCAGGACAAGTACAAAATTATGGTTTAAAAAAACAACAGCTCTCTAACTTTCTCAGGAGGTTAGAAAATTACCTGTTAAGAATTTTGTCTGCGTTTGGCTTGATGGTGAAACAGCAGGCCACAAGGAAAAACAGAAATACCAGAAAAAGGAAAGTGTCCCTTGAGTAGGTTCTCTCCCCTTGGATGAACACCTGAAAGTTTTAAGGCAATGTTTCCGCATTGGTTTAGGGTAATATATAGAGTAAAAAAAACAACAAATGTTTTGCTGAAAATTTACATACAAACACACACTCTTTTAAAAAAAAAATTTAGCTTTGTTAAATAACATGTATGCTTTAAGGTATTAGTTCTGGGTACCGGTACTTGCCTTGCGATAATCACTGAGATAGAAGTAGATCATAATCGCACCAAACAGTACAACAGACGCGAGGAATCTGTCCAAACTGACATCAGGAATGGCGGGGACTGGCGGTTTATGACTCCCTTCTGCTTGATGTCCTGAAAAGTTTTCTTTAATCAGCACGGGGTCATCTTTGCTGTCACTGTTTGTGTCAATAGTCTTCAGTCTGTCCCCTGCAACGTGTTTATCACTATTTGAATTCGCATCATGCTTATTATTCACCACGTGGTTCTCCTCGCAGATGCCCACAAGAACGTGCTCAGAATGAGGCTTGGCGTGGATGCCAGTGTTACCGTGTCTGCACAGATCGAATACGTCAAAAGTAGAGAAGGAAATGAGAAGTCGAAACACCCACACGGTGACGACGATTCCATACGCTACTATGAGTGTGAGTTGTGTCAGGGTAGGCTGATACTGTGGAACAGCATGCAAATCAGGGTAAGGTTGTCCAGTAAGTGCCGCAGCCATTGCTTTGGTCTGATTGGTGTGTAGTGATGTCTTGAGAGCGGCTACTATTACACTTGAGGTTGGTTGGTTAAGGGAAAAGTTATAAGTTAAATTCATTGCTGTGGATATAATTGGTTTCCTGATGATGTGCCGTGGTCAAGAACTTGATTGGGTTGGTCAGACTGAAAAATAAAGTATATAAACTGTTCAATGTTCCATTTAATTAGCATTCACCTGGCAGTGGAAAATTATGATCATTTACATTACTTAAAAGTGAGAATTTTTTTTTTTTAAACTTAAAAAAAAAGATTTTTTTTTCAAAGACTAGTTTAAACGCAATAAAATTAGATAAATATTTTCTTGAAATTTATTACGCAAAGAGAGTATGTGCAGAAACTTACAGACATAAATTTTATTTAAACCTTTACATTTTTTCCAAAATCTCAGTCACACTTTTCATTATAATTCTTTGAATACTTTAATAAAAAAGGGTAATAAAATAAATTCCTTCTCAGCGTTCTGCCTAATGTAAGGCTAAATGTATTAAATGCTGCGTCCAAACAAAAAGACGTCAGAAGTCAATTAAGTGTTTTTTAGATTTCTGCTGCCACACATATTTAAAAAAAAATTACAATTTTTAAAAAAAATCTCAGGCCACATCCATATCAAGTTTTATACTTTTACTTGTCTCGTAAACGAGGGTATCTCATTTCCCGGGTTTTAGCTTAACCCGGGTAAACGAGACAAAAGACAAATCTTTCCAGGATAAAAAATAATTTGATTGAAAGTATGTTTTATGATCAATAAATTATGCTTTCGTGTTTGTTTTAAAAAATATTTTAACAAAAATTTTTTTGTCTATTAATAAATAAGAAACAATGTTTAGATGAGTTGAAAGGTTGGTAAATTGCTACCAGTTTCCCCTGCTTAAACCCTAGTATAGATTAGTAGCTAATAATATTCTTGCTAAGCTAAGTACCACCTGCACAAAATAAAAAAATATATAATTAAAGTAAAAAAACAAAATGTACACTTTATTATGTTGCGTTGGGGTTGCCGGCTCAAACAATAGACTAGGAGAAATCTTTATCTTTAAATAATTTTCTTTTTTAATTGTTGTCTTAAAGTTTGAGTTAGAATTTCAATAATGTCATTTAAAAAATCTTAACTACAGTTAAATTAAACTTGGGAGAAAATCAAGTTTTGATATGTTTTCAATTTCCAAAATGTTTAATATGAAACCCCATTACAAATGTGATCGTGACTTGAAAACGCTTGAGACCCTGTATACTAGAGCTACTGTGCTTTATAATTCATTGCAGATACCTAAATTTTATAGGTCCTGGCTTATAGCAATAATTTTTTTACAATTTGTGATTGGCTGAAAATTGAAAAAAAAAAATGTATTCTAAACATGCGTCAGGGTCGTCTTTAACAGCAGCGTAGGCCCCTGGGACAATAATGCACAGAGTCTCCTCAGTTCCATTCAAAACAGTTGATTGTTAATTTTAAAAAAACAACAAAAAACCCAATCTAATAGTATGTTAATATAATAATTATCATTTTAAAAAATTTTATTTAAAACTTTAGTAGCTTTTCCCCAAAATTTACAGTTATGAGAAAAAAATACAGTCTTTGCAGAATATGTCTATCTATTTATTATTTATGGCTATTTAAAACAGGTCATTTAAAAAAAAAAAAATTTGTATTGAACCATGAATTTACAAACAAGTGGTCTAATTTAAAAAGTTTTATTTGTAATTTTCTAACTACTATAGCTTTCTTCAATTAAATTATTAAATAATGAATGTTTGGTGCCTTTTTGAAATTGTAAGATTCTTTTTGATTTACTGTACTCCTCCCCCCCCCCCCCCCAACCAAAATAATAATTAATGGATTTTTTTTTTCTCAAATTGATAATTAATCATAATTTTTTATCAAAATAATTTTTTTTCTTAACTTATTTTGAAGTCTTAAGTTAAGCTAGTACCAAAAAAATTGAAATGATGTGAGAATTGAAAAACTTGATCAAATTTTCAAATTGACTGGAGAAATGGTCTTGGTAATCTACCACTTGAGCGTCGGCAAAGAAAAAATCCAGCTGTTCGGGTTGGAAGGGCTATTTAAGCAACTAATCTTTTATTATTTTTAATGACATTGGTTGTACGTATTCATTCCCATAATTAATAATAGACATTTTTTTTTTAAAATAGAAAAACTATAACATTTTTTTTGAAATAGAAGATACTGTGTGAAAATAGAATTATGCATAGTTCTCCCCCAAGTTGACAATGAAGTTTAAAAAAATATAATTTCCACGAAAACGGTTGTGGTACATGAATCCACGTAAATATGAAAGGGAAAGATCACCGGCGCTTCTTGTGCCAAACTGTCTTTTTAGTTAACGCTTTCTGAGCATTCACGTTTTCCACATTCTGTGTGTGGACATCCGCATTGTCTGGATCAAAAAAAATAATTGTAGTCTCTTTTTCTTCCTGGCATATCGGTAGCTTGGAAGTAATAATTATTTAAATGTATTAGTATTGTGCTATATTATATAAATTTATAGCCTCTATACGGAAGCAAAAATATTAACAGACTCCAATGTAAGAATAGTTGTTTAAATAGCCCTTCCAACCGGTACAACTGGATTTTTTCTTGGCCGACGCTCAAGTGGTAGATTACCACGGTCTTCCCGCTTTTCATTTTTGAAAGCAAAATAAATTGCCAAAAATATTTTCACTATTCACTTATAATATATATTTGGCAGCATAATGCTCCTAGAAGTGTGAGGGGCCCTGGCCCTAGTGAGGTTCCATAGATGATAGATAGTATTAGTATTTTAGTGTATTGATAGAGAAGAGCCGTGATGCCCCCTCGGCTCTGGCTCCAGTATCATTCAGTATGAGTCTGGGGCCACCTTGAGGCGTGAGACACTAGCCTGACTGGGCAAGTGTATAAACTACTGTAAACGGCATAGCTTTTTCTCCACTAATTTTCTCTACTAAGTACGGAGCAGTGGCGTAGCTGGGGTTATTTCCTCCCGAGACTAACATCTTAGTCTAGCATGATTGTAAACACAAATTCTTACTAATTTTTTTTGTTTCATATCTTGAAGAAGTAAAACTTATTGACGAGAGTTATTCTCCTTTTCAGAAGTATCCAACTTGTGATTCGCATTTATAAAATTAATTTTGGTCTGTGCCGAAAATATCGTGGGTTAATATTGGGAAACGTGCTGTCCATTTACTTTTAAATCAAATTAAATTGCCAAAATCTTTTTTATAACATTAACAATATGTAAATCATGATGCCTCTAAAAGAAGCGCGAGGTCCCCTAGTTGCATAAGGCCCTGAGAGTTTTCTTGTCCTCGTGTTGTTGTTTTTTTTTGCCAGAAATTTGAGACAAATTAAGGTGTGCAAATATGACGTCAGAGCATTGCGTTTAATGGCATTTTCTGCATGAATGGACTTGATGTATGTTGTCACGCCATGAATGAGCATTTATGTATGGTATTATGACATCAGCTGTGGGCAAAATGCCGGAAAGGAATGAACACGTTTGACATTCAAGGAAATGATTTTGATGAAATTTAATCGAAAGAAATTTCGTCGACGGTAATTTGGTCAAATCTTTTTTTCTCCAGTTTTTACGTTAAAATTTTGCTTTAAATTTCTTTTTGAACGCATTATTTAGTTTTACTACATAGTATAGTGCGTTCAAAAAGAAATTGGACGAAAATTTCAACGTGTGAACTGAAAAAAAAAGATTCGAGCAAATTTCCGTCGATCAATTTACCGTGGAGACTGGAAAAACGGTTCACCAAAAAGTGTGCTTTCTTTATCTCAACAGCTGTTTCATTTATGGCCGTTCTTTGCCATGCCTGTAGCCCTTGTAAGGGAGCTATTGCTACCGAAATAAATCAATCTCTCGATAACAATTCAACAACCAAATAATGCCACTGACGCTTCCACTAAAAATAAATTCCCGATAACTGTGCTAAATGAGATTCTTAAAAATACCTCATGTGCTTTTGGTGCGTACTATTTTCGTTTGTGTTACGGAGACAGTCTCAATAATTTAAATATGATGTTATAAATTTGCCGTATAAAAGGAGGGGGGGGGGGTCATAATTGTTAAGATAGTTCAGGGGCGATGGCGTGCGGGGTGGGGTGGGGGTGGGTAGCACTAATACCGATGTGCGTACTATTTTCGTTTGTGTTACGGAGACAGTTTCAATAATTTAAATATGATGTTATAAATTTGCCGTATAAAAGGAGGGGGGGGGGTCATAATTGTTAAGATAGTTCAGGGGCGATGGCGTACGGGGTGGGGTGGGGGTGGGTAGCACTAATACCGAGTATCCTATAAAGTGCGTTACTTAAATGCATGTTTTATCGAGTAACTTAAGAGTATGAGAAGTTCACGCATCGCCGCCGCCATTGTTTGGGCGGGGCTATAGCAGGTTTTTAATAGATTCAGGCATGACAGACACTGTACACACGTAGGTTACAAGAACGATCAACTGGAGCCAACAGTCAATGTGGCCGTGAGTTGAAGGTATACAAAAACAACACACAACAAAACAGCATCATAATAATTATTACTCTAATCAATGTTAAAAGATCAACGGTATGTTCACCTACACATATAGCTCATATAATTCCATCAATCCACACCACATGATTCCTTTTCCTCGCATAATTCCCCATATTCTTCTTCTTCTTCTATATATTAAGACCCCACGATCAATTTATTGATCATTTTGGCTCATATGCACGGAGAGGGGATTTGCAATGTTTCTGTGCCTGGTGCTGATAAGGGCATTTCACTGATTGCAAGGGCTACTTTGTGAGGGAACCATGCATGCGATTCCGTGTCCAAGTTACTCTCATTAATACGGGTGTGCTTCAATTTAAATGGACCACTGGATTGATGTTTCTATTAGGATTTGGTGTTTTAGTGCTACCTATCAAAGCTATTCAAAGTGTCTAAACGCCACATGAGGCTAAACGCAACAGATGGCTAAACGCCACAGATCGCTAAACGCCACAGATCGCTAAACGCCACAGATGGCTAAACGCCACAGATGGCTAAACACCACAGATCGCTAAACACCACAGATGGCTAAACGCCACAGATTGCTAAACACCACAGATCGCTAAACGCCAC